TATTATGTGTTAAACTATTATTTGAAATAAATGTATTGTAATTGGTGTAATTAATAAATATATTTTAATTTAATTAGCTTTTTTATTAAATCTCTAATATACAAGTAATTTATTGAAGAATTAGGTAAAAATTTTCTCTAAGAGTTGAATTTTAAAACAACTTACATAAAAAAAAACGCAATTCGAGCAATAAATTTCTATTATTTTATAGTACTAGTGCAATCAAACGTTTGAAGGCCGAAATACGTAGAATAACAGAAAACAAAACTGCCACATATAGTTGATCCCGCGCTAAAAATTGGAACTCTGAAAAAGATCTTTCGCGACTTATGCTCTCCTAATACAAATATTCAGATTTAACAAAATTTTCAGTTTTGCGTCATATACGAGGGCTGGTTCAAAAGTTATCGAAAAATAAAATTTCAAAAAACAACTTGAATTTCCATTACTTTTCGACTATCTTTGGTATTTTGCTCAAAACTGAAAATTTTCATAAATTTCAACATTTGTATTAGGAGAGCATAAGTTGCATCGGGTCTTTTTCAAAAAACAACTTGAATTTTCCATTACTTTTCGACTAACCCTCGTATTTGGCTCAAAACTGAAAATTTTCATAAATTTCAACATTTGTATTAGGAGAGCATAAGTAGAATCGGGTCTTTTTCCAAGTTCAGAAATAAAGCGCGGGATTAAATTCATCTTTCTTTCGAATTGTTCAGCTTCTGAGCACAGGATGGCTCTGGTTATTTTCAAAACTTGACAGAATTTTCCTTTCAAATTGTTCAGCTTCTGAGCACACGATGGCACTGGTTATTTTCAAAATTTGACATTTTTATTCTTTTCTGTTGTTTGAGTCTGATAATACAATTAAAAACGCATACTTTATTTATTTATTTAAATACCAAAGAATGATAATACAATGAAAATACATTTATTATTTAGAAATTCAATTTACATTTATTGTAACAAAGTACAAATTTATTTCAAATAACAATACATTAATATAAACAAAATGTCTAAGATATAATACATTTTAACGACTTATAAAAGTTAAAAATAAAATACCTGTAAGAGA